CATTTAACCGGTCTTGATGTTCCACAGATGTAGCATTTACCTCAGTCACAGTCAATTTTACATAAATTGCAGCTTTGTGTCTATATTTTTCCTTCCGGCTGTTTCAGTATGAAAAACCTTCCAAGTTTGGCTTTAAATAAGCTTATTCGTAAGCATTTTGCCAAGAAATCGACTCAGGATGGGGAGTAAGCTCAGCCGTTTTAAATTGTATGGGGCCAAATTAGCGTCAGAGTAGAAAAAACAAACTAAACGCCATTTCGCGCTGCAGTAATTCGAAGTTTATTATTCTAAGCTAGAAGTTAAATTAACTTGGTAACAAGATCCGGTTCCCTTGTGACGCGTGGTGTTGTATTATAAGTTCACAACCGAAAGACCGAACGATCGATCCAACTAATGAAATCATGTAATGAGTTGGGGTTTAAATTCAGAATTTTATGCGGTAGCATGCCATCAGGGCAAACATTCAGTAGCGGAGACTGATTTTTTTATACAGAAACAGTCGCGAACGCAGAAATCTAAATACCGAGTGTTGCATGTTTCAAGTATTAATTCTCCGAACCTCTAAAACAATTTAAAATTGAGTGGTCAGATCTTTGGTTGATGAAACATTTGAATCTTATCCTGTGGTTTCCATGTCAATATTCCGCCATATTTCTCTGGCCAATCGAAATTACATGTGTTGAAAAAATTGTTTACTGTAAACGTTTCGCACACAACGGGAGCTGGAATGCCTACTCTTGAAATTTGGAGTCACTGCATGTTACGGGACTTTTCACACTATTGTAGTAGCACACTGCATAAGAATATGGAAATGGAAAAAAATTAAATACCGAGGTACGGTTAAAGATGTCTTGGTCATCCGATTTTTGACCTACGTATAGATAATAGAATTAAAAAACATCGCATCATGCAGATTCTCTTCGTCATTCTTTACAAACCAGATGCAGAGGAGTAGCTGAATCGGTAAATTCGCTATGTGCAAAATCGTAGCCGGGTACCAATCAGGAAGAGAGCAGCAGCATATATCGCACGCTACTGCTGTTTTCTTTCTTTTCAATATCCGACTATAGTTAAAGCCTGGTGGGTCCGTCAGGCAGATATATAACATGTAGTGATAGGAAGAAAACACAGATAAGCAAATCCCGCACGGGTATTATGTAAAAAACCTATAAAACGTCAAAAAAAACCTATGTCATCTTGCAGACTAGGTAGTTTTTAGGGCGCAAACAATCATTCCACGTTTGCTCACTAGGATCGTTATGAACGTCCATCTATGGAGAAATCACTTAACTAATCTACACGCACTGTTGGTTGCATATGTTTTGTGAGGCCGAGTGGTCTGTAGTTTTTATCTCTGAGAAGAAAGTTGCTTGAATAGCAAGATCACACCTGGATGATTATGTGTATTGGTCTGAATGTGTCTAAAGTCAGAGATATTTGCTGTGTGAGAAAATCATTACTAAATATGCTGCCAATGAAGTATATCGATGAGCTGTGCCCGACGGGATATTTATCTGTTGTCCTTTCTGAAGACAGGTTATGTTCAAAGTTATAAATTACGAAAAACTTTGACGAGAATTACGGGAAATAATCACCGCGCCCGCGTTGTGTGTAATTATTGTTAGCATGTATATGGCTTGTAATTCGACAGTGCACAGTGAATATAATTATTTCTTATCTCTCTCCTTTTTGAAATTCAGCAAATTTGCATATGTAATTTCCAGAATGGATAAGAAAAAGTGCATGCGAAACTAATTTCTAGCTTTGAATCTCAATTAACTGTATTTGACAAGAATCCAATCGAATTATCATCAGCACATACAACTTACAGCTTAGACCTCCAGTAATGCTATCTCTGAAGCAGATTTTACATCACATCAGAGCCAAACATTGATAACTGAAGCCTCATGACGTTTAGGCAACACGTACAACTAAGTGCTAAGTTAAGATCTTGTAGATAAACCTTCAAAATGTAAAAAACAGTATCATGTCAAAAAAATCGATATAACGCCACTTTTCAAAATACATAATACCCGTGCCGCTGGCATATCGTTAGACCACCTGTCATCGCAGAAGTGGCTTGAGATCATTCCTTAAGGAAGTGTCATCAATTAGTCGGACAGCCTTTCTATGGACAGCAACAGTACGAGTATGCAATAGTACTGGAGGCCAGGTTTTATTCAGACTAGGGGGTTTATATGGGAAAAATCAGCACCGTTCAGTTAACTCAGCATCTTCATGCCCCAATTCCGACAAGCTGAAACTGATAGCCTCATGGCTATTCATCAAAACCGAATGTGAGCTTTTAGCGCCTCTTGTTTGTTGAGGCATTGTTGAGATATAATACTATGACATTTTACAGGGATTAACCTGTACCATATTGTTGCGCCCCCAGGCAGGAATAATCTCCAGCTCCTTCATCAGACATGACATCTGTTAGAGCCAAGATAGATCCCTGGATAGTACCATTGTTCACATTGTGGGATGAAGGGGAGAACTTGTCAATCTTTATGATTTTCAGCTTATTTTTAGGTCTGTGTTGGAAATTTCAACAGAACTGTAGCTGGTTTGAAAAGCTCTTATACGGACAGTTCATTAGGTACAAGGGCTGCCGTCACGTACCCTATTGATGGCTTGTAATAGAAAATACACGATTGGGTTTTTTTCTCACCACCATCCTTACATAGCAGTTAATGAATACAAAGTTAATTTGAAATTTCGTGATGTTGAAAGTTTACCTGTTAGCAGCTTCCTTTGCAAATTAATATCAAGGTTGCACTGATAGAATCAGCTTGATGGATCACGCAACTTTCTCGTTGAGTTGGTTATACCTAAATAATTTAGCTGAACGCATATCGCCAGCTAATCGCAACCGTAGCTAAATTGCTAGCTAAATGGGATGTATTGACAGACGGCAGAATACATTTATGCTATTTTGGTATTCTGGATAGCACGCTACATATTCTGCACTATATCATTATTTGTAACTAAATTATAGGCACGCTCGTGGATATGTAACTTACCATCATGGACGTACATAAATCGTTTTTATTTCTCAGAAGCATTGTATCCAAATAGAGGAAGTTATCAAATTTCAGGAATCAAGTCACGCATTTCAGTCGGTCTGTCTGTCGGTGGCAGGCCGTTTTGCATGATTCCAGCCTCGTAATTTCGTAGTCGGCTGCACCGATTTTGATGAACTTTGGTGAGCGATATGCTGTGGAGTCGTAGTAGGCAATGCTAATTCTAATAATCGCAGTAAGGCCAGAAAAGGTATTAGGTAAAAAACGACTTCAAGTAGGTTGACTCTGCAATTTCCACGCAACGCCGTTATCAGTTCATAAAGGATTATGTTCAGCGCAAACTAGACCCTCTGAGAAAAAATAAGTCAATCAGGTCCATACAATTAGTACATAGACATTGCTTCCTTGCCCTAGCGGTAGTGCATCTGGAAAGGTCGCCTCTCCCCGATACTTTACTCGGTCAGGTCCCCGATACTTTACTCTGTCAGGCCTGGCAGCGCAGTCAGAGCATAGGAAACACTATGCTGTAACGCGGCAGAAATACCAGAACAACAGAACACTCCACAGCTGCGGTCGGTAGGTGCACGATCCGCCAACCGAGGATATTTTTTTAACGACTAATATACCGAGAAATCTATGATGTACGAAATATCTCTAATATTTGCATAGAATTGTCAAGGTTCGGAGCGCATAGATGTAATAACATCAAAGACTTGATATACCCTCCCCGCCCACATACAACCCTCACCCCTAGTTTGTCTGCCTCCCTTTTTTTCAGAAATGATATTCAAAAGCGAAGTATGAGCACTTTTTACTCTTTTCGTTTTAGGCCCTTTTCTCTGCTGCCACTCGACCGATTTTCAAAAACTATAAAGCCTTTGTGTCCTTGGCACAGTAGTAACATTGTGTAAGAATTTCATCGAAATCCGTGCGATACTTCTCAGGTTATAGGCGGTTATAAGATTAAAGGATAGACCGATAGACCGACATACGGAAATGGTGATATAACATGCAAAAAACATAGTATCTCATTTTCGAAATTTATTATATTATTAATTATTATATAATACTTCCACGCCAGTAGGCGTGAGAAATAAAAAGAAGTTAAGAAACATAAACAACCAAGGTAGAGATATTTTTGATATCTATTGGGTGCAGCTAAAAAGATTTATGAAGTGGACTTGAATTTGTCTGGTATCTGGGTAACCAGACCTGACAGTCTAACAGACCGACGGACTTTTAACTATAAGCAATAGTCCACTGGACCGCTCTGGTAAACAAGACGAATAGTACGTAAGAGAATGTACACTGTCATCGTTGTTACAAATAGAATGTACTCTCACTTTCGAACAAAAGTACCTTCGATACCTACATAATAGGTAAACCTCAGCGTAAATTAATTTAATGTGCTGGACAGCCGAGAATAAGGCGTGGACTTATTCACTGTGTTGTTGAACGTGGAGCATGTATCATGAGAAAGTACAATAAAATAAGATATAAAACGTGTATGTTGTGAATACCGCACATTATTCTAAGACCGGTTTATTACATTCACCTCCTCAGTGTTGAATCAGGTTTTCTGGATATCTCCCCATTTGTTCCATGAAATACTGGATGAAGAGAAATACCCAGAATCGAGTAAAGTCCGCACTTAGCGAAAATCTGCTTAGATTCAATAGGAAGGCCATAAGAGCTATAGTGGATGTCCTTACAGAACACTGTCATCCAAATCGACAATTAACCAGCAGATGCTACTGTTATTTTGTTGTAAGGCTAGAGCTTCAGATATTTGGGACACCCGATCCAAAAGCTCTAATCTAATCATTAGTACCTTGGAAAAAATACGGAACAATGTATTTTTAGTGCGAGTCTTTCCTTTTAGGTTTTAATTCACTGATCGAGCAAAAAATATGATTGGCGAGTGTTAAAACTGTATTGGTGGTAAAAAATTATACAAAAAATATACATGTAGAACCTGCGGAACTTTAGAAAATTGAGTTTAGAAGATACATGTATTTCCCTCATGTGCCGAGTTGTCGCCAAAATGAAAATGAAACCACAATAGATTCATTTTAAAAAATGTATTGAAAACAAGGAACAATAACATTCAAATATCAAAATATACCTTCCTTTCTACAAGATACTTATAAAAATACTAAGCATTCTCATACCGAGACAGAATAAATATTTACATTAATGAATATTTCAAGTCCTGCTTTAAACGACAAATACAGCTTACTAGACAGTGTAACCAAACTTCTTATCACAAAACACTTTCGAAATATTGTGCCTTACAATAATTATATCGTCCTACTGCAATAAAAAAATACAAACATTAGAAGGGACTTACTATCATTTTTCATTCATTCATCAGAACAGTAATCGGCATCGGAATTTTACAGTAACTGGCAGCTTGATGAGAGATTCATTTTCAAAATAACTCCAAACGACTCCAAAAAGCTTATAAAACCACTTTTGTAGACATGTGCCCAAGTTATTTATTGTAAAACAGCTTGTGCATCATACATTTCAAACGCACTATAAGTTATTTGCGTAAACAAATATAAGATTTTTTCGTATTTAACATCAGTCTACAACTGGCCTCATATGCTATTTAATTTTTTAAATAAAATGCTTAAAATGTTGATCACATTTTTCCCTTAACTTCTTGACTGCTCTCATAATCCGTGTTGACTGATTTCGGTTGGTACTTGGAGGAGGTGTATTTAAAATTCGCTGGGTTGCCTCTCGTTGAAGTTTGAAGAGCACTGCTGCCGGCAAGGGGCTGTAGTGGACCGAAGTGCTCACTCAGTTGGGCCTGAGATTATAACATTTAGTTCAGTCAAAGTCTTCTAATGTACAATAATAATAATAACGCACTTTACACTACTATATAAGTTTAGCGACGGGGCTACCCTTACACTTAACCCCACTGTATGAAAAAGTAACCAAAAACAAATTAAGCATACACAAAGTAAAACAAGAAAAAGATACAAACAAAAATATCAACAATAGTCCCCTACGACACTATATAAGAAAGAAAACAAAATAATCTATATGGCTAAAACAAAACGTTTTGATATTTATACCTATAAGGTAAGAATGTTTATATTGTACTTTTCAATACTGTTATTTTGTTGTAATTTTTTTAATTATTAGCAACATTCCATCTCAAAGTCTCTTATGAGTTAAGATAGAATGGTCGTGATGGTCATGTAGCTAATAAAGTCGTTATTAGATATTGTTACGTGAAACAGCAACAATACATGAATCCAGACAGTTTATATTGTATAAAGTTTCATTAGAGGGCATTGAAAATCAAAGTAGATTAATTTCTCACTTCCCATCTATTCATATACGCATACTTTCAAATTTTATTTGCGTATAAATTGAAAATCCTCGAAGCACTAATTTTTTTTGAAGGTGATGATCATTTCCAAAAAATAGCATTGCTTTTTGAAATTGTTAGGTAACCAGAAATATGTTTTGACTATATCTAAAACTGTTTAGTATCTTGAAATTTTGCAGCCACTATACTACAGACTGACGACAAATTTACGTGAAGTTGACATTATGAAACAAATAAAAAATCGTTATGTTAATGTTGAAAATGTTCGCGATTACAATATTTCTCATTTATGTCAAGTTTTTGATGCTATTTTCGTAATTTGAGAATAGGAATTTAAAAGAAGTATCTCGTCTCTGGAACGTTAAAAAACTAAGTTTAGTCATGTTTTTTGTTTTTTGCCTATATCTCTACAGTCTCCGGATCGATTTTCAAATACTACAAAGCTTGTTCATCCTTTGCTTAGTAGTAAACTTATGTTGAAATGTCATCAAGATCCGAGAGGTACTTTCCAAGTTATAGAGGCGTCCAGAATTAGCGGGCAGAGCGGCAGACGCACAGACCCACGATTGACATGGAAAGTAAAGACTTACTAACCCTGATCTTTTCTTGCTGTTCCGGAGAAAAATTCTCCAACCCAGTAATAATCGGTGGCAGGGACTCCACAGGCGTAGCCCCAGACTGATGTCCAGCTCCTAGTTGCAATCCATATTGCTGAGCAGCAGTTTGAGCTATATGGCTCAACTGTTCAGATTGCTGAGCAGGAGTCTTTCGCTGTGTTTGTGGCTGCTGCTGTGTCTCGGGATGGTTTGGGTAGTACTCGACGTAGTTGGGCTGCTCCGGGTGCTTTTGTTGGGGGGTTTCCTCCACAGGTTGTGCTTGGTATGATGGGTGACGTGGTGGTGCTGTGATGGGGAGGAATGGTTCGTTTTGGGGTACTCGGTGTTGATGTGATCTGGAAAATGAAATCAAACAGATGTTCAAACTTATTAGATCCTTTATGTTTTCAAAGGATATCAAAATACTCAGGGTTTCCTAAAACTTCTAGGATACCTCTAAGATACAACAGTTCCAAAATGATACACTCATCAACCAGAGTTCTTTCAACAAAAGCATGGACAATATTTCTTTATCTTTTTTTGGAATATATATCTCCTTTATTTTATATCATAATTAGTAACTAAATGCCTTGTTTGTTCCGAGTGATCTAAAATACCTAAATAACCAGAAACAACATTTTCTTTACTTTGTTCAAAAAAATTGTTTAAACGATTTTTCACCAGGTTACCTCCAAGCAACCTCTAGATTCATATGGCACAAACGTGGTTTTGTCAAAAAAAAATCTAGATTGAAAATATTTCCCATGAATGCGACGTTTTTGACTCATGTAATTTCAAAATTAATGGACTCATACTTCCTTAAATATAATGAAAAAGCTTCATGGGAACGACTAACCATCAATTAAGGTATCATTCTGTGTATGCAGAAGACAAATATCTATTAGATTTTTTTGTATCTTTGGTTTTTGTTTTGGGATACCAGTGATGCATCTTCACTGTGCCTGTCGTGATATTGATCCTTTCCAGATAATATTCTTATATTTGGTTGTCAAAATAAAAAACTTTCTCAACACATCTTTTATAAACATAAAATTAGGCCCATTCACGAAGCTCTCCTGTCGACAAAGTGATTGTATGCCTAAACGTACTTAATCTCTAATCTAAAATAGATAAATAATCGAGCAAAAAAGCTGAGTCATCTCAGAGATGCCACGGAAGCACACCGTGGAAAACGCTCATTCTTCATTCACATTCCAATATGATTATGCAGAATTAAAAGGTTTTAATTCGCAGTTTTGTTCCTTAAGACAAGATCGTCAGTTACTTTTACTTTTCTCGGACACCGGGCAGCGGGCATTTTTTATAAGATCGATATAAATTATAGGAATGACGTTCACTTTTTAGAAGAAGGTGAAATTAAAATTAATGAAGATTGCTAGAAATGTCATTAATCTCCGATTCCTCGACGAAAGTGAAATTATTGGTTGTTTCTGTTTTTGATATTGTTTTTAGAAGGTTTTTTTATATCTCATCAAATTATTGTGTTGATACAGTTGATAGAACTCGTAGAAATTAAAACAGCAATTCGATTAGTCTTCTAACCCGATGATTCGTTTAGCATGTAAGAAGCTGAAGTCACGATTGCTTTAATATTATATTTGAAACTTAGCCTGTGGTTTTCATGTTGATAAGTCCCCATGTTTCTCTGGACAACCAAACCACTTCTATTTAAAATTATCCTTTATTGTATACGCTTCGGCACTAACGATAACCTTCTTTATTATTTTTCTCCATAATCTTCAATCTGTTTTTCAGGACACAAAAATGCATACACCACGATCCATATGGTCAGAAATGACAGCAGACAACTTGGCCATAGTAGATATATATAATTAACATGTTGTCAGCATTACTCAAATAATATGTAAAACTATTTTTTCAATGTTTGTATTAAACTGCAATTTTGCTGGTATTCCTCGGTGACAAATATTTGCCATCTTGACTTGTAACTATTGCTGTCAGATATCCATTTTTTCTTTGTTTCTTTTTGAATCATTTATAGTACACCTCTGCTTTGAAAACATTGGTAAGTATTCGGATTTATCAATGATTTCAGCACTTACACATTCTTTTAATTATCTGATAGAATCTTATTTTCAATTTACTATTATTATCTTTTCTTTAGGATATGTTGGTATCAGTTAATGACAGGTCTTCAAATTATTTTGGGGGCAGATATACATCAACAAAAAGTTATCTTTTGCTAATGAACGCTACAAAAAATTATCCGAAACTTATTAGGAACCTCTGAAACGTCAAAAAACGAAATTTCAGCAATTCTAATTTTTTGTTTGGCTCTTGCCTGTAGCTCCGCCGCCACCGAAACTTTCTTCACAATATACAATCTTTTTCGTCATTAGCTTAGTAAGCTTGTGTGAAAATTCCGTACAAATCTGAACAGTACGTTCCAAGTTATGGACGGGCCAGAGATTCGCGGACAGACCCAGTGATTTTATGTGATGTACATGTCATACAACATCCAAAAAATATAATACAGAAATTTCTCGTCATTACAAAACCTAAGTCCTTACAAATTGTCGCATTCATGGCGGAACTGACGCTGTAGGTTACAGGGGGCAGTGGTTTGAAAATGTTCATCTTTGAAATGAGAATATGAACTTACGTCTTTTGATGCCGGTGTATGTGGACGAACTGGCACTATATGGACAATTTCATCAGAAGCCATAACGAAATCGGGGAAATTATAGACTCAATCTACTTGACGTCATTTATATCTTATTTGAGCAGTAGTATATGCGGTACACCTTCTATGAGTTTGATATCATGTGTAGGTCAATTAATTTATTTTATTAGCTTTCGCATATTTTTGATACTCCAAGTACTTCGTCAAATACTTGGAGTATGTCGACAAGTACTTGAACTGACTCATATTTTGGGAGATGAACCACATAAACTAATCCTGGCTCTTGTCGCTAAGTGTACGACATTTCCACGAAAGCCATCGACACCGATTTCTATTTTTATTTCTATCTTCAGGTGTTTCATTGTACATGCACATAACATGTCATAATATATTGCAAAACCCAATAATTAACTTTTTTCCGGAAGCTAAATTAAAATCTTTGTTGCGTTTGTTTCGGTTGACGTTCGAAAAAGAATGGAATTCTTTGAAAAATACCTTTTAATTAACTCTTTCGCTTAAGCTTTCGTGCACTTTTTACAGCACCGTTCCGTGCCTCAGTGATTGTGTGGTATCTCGTTTGTCTTTTTGGTAATTTATTTGTTTATCCGTTCGGTTTATAGAAAGCAGCTTAAAAAGTAAGATAATCTACAAATAATTTAGATATTGATTATTGAAAATTACGTGACGTAATATACCGCATGCGTAACGTTTTAAGGTAGAAACAATGTTTCGTATCTTGAATCTAGTTTCTGTATTAATTTAAATATTTTATAAGTTTCATCATATAAATATACCATATGCTTGGAACTTACAGACCATTTGCATTGGACTAGTAGCGCGAAATGTAAAAATTCCGATCTTCGGTGCTTTAACTCGTGTATCTCGGCAACCATTCGTGTAAAAGCTTCTACAGCCTGCCACCTGTTTCAGTGGGATTGCAGAAAAATGGACCTTCAAAGAGCACGATAACTTTATAGCGTTCAGCTAAATATATCACTTTGGTATATATTGTTTTTTTATTTGTTTATTTTGTGGATGGACATTTTACGGGTTAAGTGGTAGAATAGCTTCTGGTAAACTTCGTCCAATAAAGACGTTTCATTATTATATTATTATTATAACAAATCTAGGCCACTGTTTAACTTTTTCAAAATTAAAATTGATGAATTTGTAAAAACGGACAGGATCATAGCGCGTCTAAAAAAATTGGACTACGATGGCATAGCATAAATGGCGGACGTTTCGCTACGAAATATTGGAGTTCTAGGTTAGAGTTTTTTCTATTATCCAAAACTAGTATTCATATTCTTAGCTGAAACCGCATAAGGACTCAAATTGGCGTTACATGAAAGCAAACTCCATCATAGACCTCACACTTATAACAGCAGGATTCTGTATTTCAGCATTTCTTAGGTTTACTACTACCTACTGTACTATCGTTATAGTGCGTTCCCAAGTGAGATCCAACTTCCTCTGGCTCAAATTGTTACCAAAACGCCATTACTTCAGCTAAGTTATGTACTACCGTTATAAGGCGATCCTAGATCTCTTCCAACTTCTTCTGACTCAAATTATTCCCAAAACGCCAATTTTTAATACACGATCCCTAACAACATGCTTGATACCTAGATTTGCAAAACTCGATGCGATCTACTGAACTGATACCAACAGTTCCGACATCGCCACATCAAGTCGTTGTTAGCCAATCACGATACATTTCAATTTTCGATCAGTATCACAAATACTATTAATCCGTATTAAGTGATGCCGTATTTATTCAACCACTTTGGAAAAAAATTGTTTGCTGGAATATATCTACAGATCACTTACCTCAATTGCGCGCTAGAAGAATAATAAACAGGCTGAGTCTGTGGAGATGTTACGACTGGAGTATTGACCGCAGCGCTAGCGCTGTAAATGGAGTTTGGAGTGACAGGAGCACTGCTCACGGAAGTAGTAGGTCCTGTAGTCAGGAACCCTGGTTGAGCGATCACTATCATGGCTGTGGGTTGTTGATGTTGTTGGCTCAGGCTTAATGCTTTCTGGATCATCTGAAACAAAAAGAAGCACTCATTTCAAATATCGCGAATGGACTATCATGAAATAACATACTTCATCAATAAAAATTGAGTTGGAAGCTTGTTAAGCCGCAAAAACTCTTTAAAACAACTTCTCCTGATGCGGTGGTAACAATGGAGATTTGCTGTTCCATTGTGAAAAGGATATCCGAGGTACAAAGGCAGTACAGGTATTCCAAGAAATTCTGAGACCTACTGGTATCCAAGAGATGTTCTATTCAAGTGGGATGAAATCTGAGGCAACCCAAGTAAATTCTCCGCGCCACAGGAAGGAGGCAATCTAAAGAAATCCGAGGCATTCTGAAAAGGTTCGAGAAGATCTGAGACAATCCAAGAGCATCCAAAGCAATCCGAGCCAATCATGAGCGCTCGTAGGATCTTTTCGGGGCCCTATCATCCGCGAGTGATAACTTTTTGTGAGGAGATCCAAGTATTGCCAAGAGGTTTCAAGGATCTACAAGGAGGTTTCACAAGGTCTCATGAAGTTTCCGTCAGCTCCACTTAGATTGCAACATCCTGGTCATACACATCCGAACTCTTTCAAATACATCAAGGTCATAAACAGAAATATACGGAAATTAGCCAATAGTTCGGAGAAGACCTGACTAATGGCCTCTAGACTCCCTGTGGAGCCTTCCACAGCTCTTATTTTACACAGTTCCAGCGGTCGGTGAGGAAAAGGATGGAACCTTGCACCCTCGCATTTTACCTAGAGGTAGATAGTTTGAAAAAATACTTCGTATATAACTTCACTGATGAGAACAGTTATTTTCGAAAACCTTGTTCGTCCTACAAAGAACAAAATAGTCGTAGAATAGCTTAAGGAATCGTCTCTACAATTTTGATCCTGTTTTACAAACACTCTATTGAATTGACTTCTCATTCAAGTACGTACCTGTATTAGCTGTTGTTGAGCTTGGGGATGCAACTGAACTTGTTGCAGTTGACCTTTTGCAGGAACCACATGTTGATACACCTGCTGCTGCTGATGGACCGGTTGAGACACTGGTTTCAAGTATTGTGAATACGCTGAAGGATTGTAGGGTTTCTGGTCTTGCAAGAACTTGATGGATTCAAAGTCAAAGTCTGTTGTCTTTGGTGTGGAGGAAACTGAATGCAGTTTGTTGGTGTAGTGCAGTTTGGAGTCCGACGCTGTCGAGACCACGGCGCTTGTCTTGGCTGTTGTCACTGAAGCGTGCATCAGCCATGTCAAGGCTAAAATCTGAAAATAATTATAATAAAAAATTAAAATAAAATTCCTTCTGCTTCTTTAATAATAGTAAGAATAATAATATACTAAGTGACATATAAATCCGAACACCCAGTTTAAATGGTTTTATTTTAATAAAATTTTGTATAAGTACTTAATGAAGCATAATAAGTAAATGATAAAAATTTCAAAATGATTGCACTGCTTTAAAGCCCTTTGACCTTTAACAATGTGTGGATGCACCCTGATGTGCTACGCATTCTCCAACGCGCCTAGGCATGCTTCTGATCAGGTGGTCAATGTCCTCCTGTGGTATCTCATTCCAGGCAACCACCAACTCCTCTCGAAGTGCTTCTAGAGTCTGAGGAGGACGTTGCAAATTGAGCAATCTCCTACCCATCATATCCCACACGTGCTCAATTGGGGATAAGTCGGGAGATCTTGGTGGCCATGGTAACAATGTGACATCATTATGTTGAAAGAAGTCTATTGTGACTCTTGCAACATGTGGTCGGGCATTATCTTGTTGGAAAGTTGGATCTGCCAGGGTGTCAAGATAGGGTAAAAGATGGGGTTCTAGAACTTCGTGGATATAACGCTGCGCGTTCATGTTACCTCTGATGAAGATTAATGGTGACCTGGAACCATAAGCTATAGCAACCCAAACCATAACTCCAACAGTGTGATGAACATGTCTTTCAACAAAAAACTGTGGATTCCTCCTTTCACCACGTCGCCTTCTAACCCTGGCACGACCATCGTGCATGCCTAAACAAAATCGAGACTCGTCACTAAAGACAATACTGTTCCATTCCTGATCCCAGAGTGACCGTTGTCTGCACCACTCAAGGCGATTACGTCGGTGTTCTCGAGTTAAAGGGAGGACCCAGTCTGGCCGGTATGAAAACAAGCCAAAACTTCTCATTCGTCGGTAAACACTTCGCATGCCAATAGGTATTCCGTGTTCTGCAAACCATTCATTTGCAATGGACCTGGTACTGGAGAAACGGTCCCTTAAGGCCAACAATCTTAGGCGGCGATCTTCACGGTCTGTTGTTCTACGGCGGCGTCCAGTGCCCCTTGCTCTTTGCGTACGGCCTTCTCGAAGCCATGCCTGACAACACCTAACCACAGTGTCTACACTTCTTTGCACTCTAACTGCAATTGCCCGAAAAGAAAGTCCAGCTTCCCGAAGTCCCGCTATACGGCCCCTATCAAACTCACTAAATTGACGAAATCGTACAGGTCTCCGTACTCTAGGCATCGTAACCGATCGTAAAGGATGTCAAGAACCAAAATCCGCCAACGTTGATTCTTTACTGCGGCTGAAATATTCATTTTTATAGCGTTAGTGAATTAAAAAAAGCAGTATAAAAACCGGAATGGGACCTCGGTTGGCCGCGTGGGTCAGAGTGTCGTGCTACTGATCAGCCGGCCGGCCGGGCCGCGAGTTCGAATCTCGTCTTCGCCATGGATGTTGTGACGTCGTGTGTTTGTCCATATTTAGATATATAAAAATACCATTCCAGTTTCTGGCTGCATGGCAAGAGTCCTAAAGCAAAAAAAAAACCGGAATGTCCAACTGATAAGGCTGAAAATTTTTTCACTAGTTATTTACAGTAAGATAAATACATTCACCAACTTTTCTTAAAATAAAACCATTTAAACTGGGTGTTCGGATTTATATGTCACTTAGTATAGCTGCATTACAGATGCCAAACTGCGTTGGATGGGACATATTAGATATATATTATGATAGCTTTCATTACATACAAATACATACATACATAACAAAAATAAAATGGATAACATTCCAAAAGGGAAGAGGATTTACAACAAATATTAAGTTTAACACTATATATAACATGATATTAATCAGAGTGTTAGTGGAAGGTAGTGTAGCAACCGCGATTAAATTTAATTTGTGGATTCAAATCTTTGTAGCTACACTAGCACTTTTTCCATCTCATTTCTAAAGTTTTGGGTGGAAGGTGCTTCAAAAAGCTCTAAATAATCATTCAATAGACATGATGCTGTATAAGTTAAGCATTTTTGGAACTTACACGTTGTATGAACTGGAATATTGAAATAGGCATTGTTGCATAAAAAAACTTGGCGGAATGAACGTTTTTTCTCTAATGAATTAAACAGATAACTGGGTAATGTATATTTTAAGACTTTATACACTAGAATTTCATACTGAAGCAACACACAATAATTTTCTCTGAATACCGGAACATCGTGACTGCTGTGAGGACCTAAGAAAAACTGATACAAGCTATGTACTGGTTAAGGTTTATGATTGGCATAGTTTTCAATATAGTTCATAACGCAATTTCAATATCTTGAAAACATTGCTACAAGCCTAGCGGACCTAGCAAATTGTGGCTTCAAGAAAGCTTAGAAAAGCGCGCCTAAGGTTGGAATATAGGCAGTACCCCTAAACTGGTGTTATCAGGGCTTTGCTTATGCCTTTCTGCTGGCGCGAATTTTCTAGAGATTATTTTTACTTTTCACGCCCACTGGTCAGGAAGTACTGTAATCACGAAAAATTGCGAAAATGAGATATTGTTTTCTAGATCTTATATTTCATGTAAGTCACGAAAAACAGGTCACTTATTTCAATCGGTCTATCTGTTGGCCTGGCGCTCGGGCGGCTCGCTTATCCTTGGATTTGGATGGAATAACTACACAGGGTTGCTAATAGTGGCATAGGCCAAGGACGAAAAAGCTTTGTAGTTTTTGAAAATCGGTCCCGTGCCGGCGGAGAAAAAGACCAGATACTAATCAAATAAAAACCGCTCAAAATTTGTTTTTAGATGTTTCAGAGGGTCCTAATCATTCTTGAAAAATTTTTAAGGGAAAAAATTGGAAGATGCGGGATGGTAGGGGGGTAGTGGAGGGTGTACGGTAGCAAACACAGTTTCTATTGTTGGACGAAGTAGATGGATCAACATGAGGATATCTGCTAGACTCTGGTTTCAATTACATCCCAGCTCATGCCCAAGAAATAAATGCATTACTGACCGCTCCTTCATATCTTAGCAATGAAACGCGAATTCATTTATTTTCATTTCTCTATATTACGTATCAGTCCTGTAAGTAATTTATAACGATCATCTCCCTAAGAAACCATTAAACTGTCTAAAATTACACGCCTTATCCGCAAAGGCGATGTTTCATTTTTATTTGATTTCCGCTGCTCTCGGTTTCTAAACCGGAAGGCCGGATTGCCCGGAACATGCATCAACTTCGAGAGAAATGCTTTTACTCCAGATCATATAATATCTATGATTTAACGTTACGTTTGTTTTCAACGCATATTTATGAAGTAATAGGTTTATTACAGTTGAAAGCCGCAAATGTGAATTAAGTCAAACAAGTAACTGTGACTTGTTTATATAGGTGAGGCTTAAATATCGAATGACTGTCTGCTGCAAAGGAAGTAAGGGTAACATGTTGATACGAACTTTCAAGTGTCTAACAATGAATAAATAAAAATGGACCATGACTGCCCGTACAGCAGAATTCAAGGGGGCGAACAGGCCCAATGTACCACCTTGAAGCAGAGTTCCTATCTTATCAAAGCGATGGGAGAAAAAATAGCTTCTATATAGGGAAGCCACTGCTTGTCCAACAATGGCGTCAGGTAGGTTGACTCTGCACTTCCTGCCCAACGCCATTATCAGTTAATAAAGGATTAAATTCAGCACAAGTTAGATCCTCTGAGAAAAAACATTATTTCCCTGCCCTACAGGAAGTTACCGTCCATCTGACAACGTTGCCCATTCCCATATCATCAGACGTGGCACTGTGGCAGCGCCCACCGAAGTACCACCGCAGAAGGTGCAGAACAATCAAGCAGACTGTTACGCGGGGCGCTAAGATTTCTCTAACATCCTATCACGTATGATGAAATGGACGGGGAAACCTATGCTGTGTGAAATATGGATAATATAATAGGTGCTTAGAATTTCCAGTGTTGGTGCGTATATACTAATATAAAAAATTGAGATATAGCCTTCCACATCTGCCTACAAAGCCCTCAACCTCCCAACTTTTTACCCCTAAAAAGTTATTCAAAAACGATCAGGATCCTCTGAAACTGAATCGACTTTCAAAAGCTTTTTCACTTTTGGCGGAGTAATAACGTGTCACAAAACATATTTTTAAAATTGTTCGCAATTACAATACCTTCTCGTAGAACATAAAAAACGGATTACGAAAAACCCGCCTTCTCTAATGGGCGCCCATAAAAGAGATAAATAGATCCAATATCTAAGGTCACCGTTGCAAAGGTCACTTAAAGGAATGTTTTGCAACTCTATCTGCGTTCGTTATCAAGGCTGACCTTTTTTGCAAACCTCAAGATAGCCCTCCGTCCTTCTCATTTTATACTTTCAGTTTTTAATTTCCAGAAAACTAGATCACAAAGTAGTCTGTGGTACCCTAAGGCCCCACAGTATAATCATTTGGTTACCTCGAAAGAATTGGGGAAGTTTTGAGAAGTCAATATCCTCATATATGTCGATGTGCCCTTTCAGAATTATCATTTTGCTGCCTTATAAGTATGCTTCCGATCGAGAAGCGAATAATAGCTTCCAAATATCCTTTCTTCCTCATTAGTTAGTGTTGATCGGCCTTCTAACCAACTTAGCCGGTACGCATGCGGTCAAGGTACATATATGAACGCTACCCAATGCCTCACGCTTTATCTACTCCTTTGACTACATGCGCTGCACATCAGCGACAATCATGCAACGCCTTTGACTATTAGAAAATAAGTTATGTCTGACAGCCCGAGAACTCGCTAGAACAACAGTTTGTTAAGTTCTGAAGTGGCTAAAATCATTAATAATTAACGCGTTCCACCTGCTAAAATTAATAAAAACCGGAATCACCTCCTATGGTAGATTTTTTCAGATTCTCAACACTCATACCCTCCCATAACCTCCATCAACCCAACCCCTGATTTTTAACCCCTACAAAACATTTCCTGAATACGATCAGAACCCTCTGACAGGCCAAAACACGAAGTTTGAGCGGTTTTTATTATTTTCCTTTTTTGCCATTTACGCCGCTACCACTGGTCGGATTTTGAAAAACTACGAAGCTTTTTCTTCCTTGGCATAGTAGTTACCTCGTTTGGAAATTTTAAAATCCGAGCAGTACTTTCTCATAGACGCTCCAGGAGACAGGCCGACAGATGTTTTTTCGTGATGTACATGTCATGCAACTTACAAAAAAAAACGAAATATCTCATTTTTTAATTTTTCTGCGATTACAATACTTCATTGCCAGTAGGCGTGCGAAGTAAAAAAGGATGGTCATACCCGCCAGCACTCAGTATCGATATGTAATCACCATCTGAGAGTACCTTCTTGATACCATTCTCTACCTCTAGCTAGAGGTCATCCCGCTAGCGAAGTGCGGTGTAAGTAAAAGGCAGCTTTGTAAAGCATTGCGTTCTGATCTAATTCGAGAGAAAGACCTTTTACTCTAGATATAATGCCGATAATTTGCTGTTACGTCGGCTTCCATGAGGAAATAACATTTATTAATTTTTTCACGTATACATGTGTTGTGTTCGGCCAGTAGAGTGGAACGGTATTGAAATCAGAGTGCTTTGAAAAATTCGGATGGTGTAGTTAATGAGGAGAAAGATCAATGATATGTTCATTGTGCGTATTGAAAGGGATATTTTCTTATTGTGGTTTGCATCCACATTTGGAGAACTTTTTAAAGTAAAGGTTTTTACAGGCACCATAACGAAAGCATTCATTTTTGTTTACAGGCATATTCAGTAATAACCGTACATGATTTTCAAAAACAGTTTCCTTTACTAAATTTTGCTAGTCAACTTTTCAGACTATCAATTGCTACAGCCCGGGCCTGAACACTAGGAGCTTCTCGCTCAGAATTTGATATTTGATTAAATAGAAATCATAATGTGAGAATATAATCATAACATGATAGATACTTTGTTATGGGTACGCATATAACATCAATGTGCAAATAATTTCAGAATAATGTAGATTACTGTTCAGTGAAGAGTACTCATAAAAATATGTGTAAGCTTTAAATGCCATTTACAGAACTTTCTATTCTCAGAAGACTTCAACTTTTGCAAAACATTAACGTTAACAAGGAACGCGAAGTGGTCTTCAAATTAATGTTCCGAAAGAAAGAGGCAATTAGTGCAACGATAATAATACAATTTGTAGATAAACATAGTGAATTTTTGTATTTCTGGATATCCGAACAACAGTTCCTTATATATTTAAGCAGCGGGGCTATTTATCCTAAGCGTTTTCGCACGAATTAATGGAGATTTGTAGATGCAGATTTGTAGTAGATTTATCTACCGAAGGCAGAATCAATACAAGAAGTAACGCGACTATTATGAAGAAATTAAAAGACGTATTTGCGATCCGACTTTTAAACTGTCTGGGGAAAATAGAAAGGCAGATTGGTCCACAACCTGGATAAAAAAGTAATCGATGTGCAGAGCTTGTCCAAGTTCCAGAAAATAGGAAGCAAGAGCCTGACCGAACCTTTCTGTCACGAATTGAATGCTCAGAAGCATATATGTATATATATAATATATATATGAGAAGTAGCGTGTGAAATAGTCATTGCCAAAGCCAACGACTAGTTGGGTACAAAATACAATTACTTGTTAATTGGGAAATTGGCAAAACTTTTGACGATAAAATCAAGCTTTCGGCATTCTCTATGGAGCCATCATGAGGATTCTGAAAACACAATTGTGATGCTAGCAAAGAAAACAGGACAGATTTAAAATGTCAGACAATGATATGAATGATATGATTGATATAATTTTTATTTTTTCTTAACCTTTAACGAAGGTATCTGTCGTTTTTTAAAAAGTCCAATGTCCCCGTCCTTTTGTTTTTATACTAAACACAAGTTCGATCTTCTCTACGTTCTTTCTGAAACACCTTGTGGCTGCAACCTCACCGACGAGTAAGTTGTCTGACATTTTAAATCTGTCATGTTTTCTTTGCTAGCATCACAATTGTGTTTTCAGAATCCTGATGATGGCTGAGTCAACTTAAGGCTAAAAGTTTTGCCAATTTCCCAATTAACAAGTAATTATATATATATAACCTGAGTTGGGGTAGGACCTATAGATTTTGAATCGTGTGATATTCATAAAAGAAATCATGAGGGCGGTATGTCCAACTTTTTCAAAATCGTTAATGGTCGCTATAACGTAAAAAAATGTGCGAAATTTCCGATTAGACAACGTTTCGCAAGATACATTTTCGTTTTATCTTCATGGGTTTCCTCCACAATTCGGAGTGTCAGGGTTCAAATAATACTGAAAAGAATGTCATTTTGTGCCTGAAAAAATGGCAGCTTGCTATTCTGTGCTTATCTAGGAGGGTTTACACAGTTTTATATCTTCAATTTGTAGAGCGGAAATAATACAAAGTATATTGTTTACACCTTAAAGAGCTTGAAAATATCATTAGCATGATTTTCCTAAGAAAGTACGAAAAATTTTACTTTTGCAGCGGAAAAAGCCGTGTATTATTCAGTATTTGTGAGGCGTCGTGATTAAGAAAATATTGGAGGATAGCTGATACAAAACAAACATGTATCTCACTAGGAAAGTCGCCAAAGATTCATACAAAATAAAATATAAAATATTTTCTGAAGCTTTGTTGGAGACTACCATTTACAAGTTTGAAAAAAATCATACACATATATTCGGGCATACATGTATATCTATATCTAATCGCAAAAAGATGACACAGTACTACTATATTTTGGACCTAGAACCGTACATTTAGAATCCTAACTGATGCTTCCAACCCCAATTACCAAACATGGAACAAGCGAATTACCACTGCTTTGCGAATAATAAATAAATAGCTCATCTACAAATAGGCAGGTCAAAGTCCTCCGGAGCCCCCCTCAGATATGGCACTGCTCAGAAGGTCGTTAGCATATAGATGGAAGAATGCCACTACTGAGCAATCGGATACGAGCCAGTTACGCCTGAGTTATCCCAGCAAATATTCAATAATGTTATCGAAGTATGAAGTCGTAAAGCCCCTAAATATTTTGAAATGACTAGAAACTTTAGATACCGATTAACAAATGGTGGAAGGAAATAGTGTTCAAGGTTCTGTACTCGTTTGTCATAAATGATCGGGGAGACCATCGCAAAATTTAGCTTTTTGAAAATGTTTTCTTCATTGCTCGAATATAACTGAATTTATGAAGAATATGTTTTTGAATTTTCTAGGTCTATAAAATTTTGTGTATGGTCTAGGCATTTTGGAAAATATTTAAAAGCGAGCATTACGAAAGAGTTTATGGGTTTCCAAAATTTTGACAGCCATAGATAGTTTTTAGTGTTTTGCTCAGATATTGTTAAACATACAGGAGGATAGTTTCAAAACTGACATTCAGTCATGAGAAATGCCAAAGATAATAAAATAATTATCATATTGCTTATCAGCGCCTCGATGTCCATATTCAAAATGACAGTGACTATTATGCTCTCACATCATACATAATATATAGTGTTTCGATATTTCGGTCTTCTTTCAGAAATCTCCAAATGTCAGCTCCGAGAAACCCATCATTCCGCTTGGGGAGACTTTTCGAAAACTATCTACCCCTATGACTGTATCCGCTATACCATACCGGCTCTCAACTTACCGTGATTCTAAAGGTCTCCATACTCAATCGCGTCGTCCACCGAATTCAAACGTAACACTCTCACTTTTCAGCAGCAACTGCAGCCGCCATAGATGCCCCTCTCTTATTTATAGACTTATTCTCCTTGATAAAACAATATTTTTCCTGTTATATTGAGTCGGCCCAGTTGTGACAGCAACGGTGAACGAATTTCACCAAAGGAAGAGGATGGCTGCTGACCACATCGCTATGATCGTCATACGAACGAAAGTAAAAGGACATTGTGCTTCTTGCCCTTGCATATAATAAGCGGCTTTGTAGTATGTTTTTATGGTGTGAACAGGCATTGAGGTATTCACTCAGGTAGCTTAGATCAAGCTGAAAAGACCCCGTACGAAAGCAATGGGAAAATAATTTCTGTCGAATTGAATGAGTACCTGCTGAGTCGATAGTGATAAAGTGTCAACGGGATCTAGGTCCGGAAACGCGGCTTTCGGTTAGAAATGGAGGGTCAAAGGTCAAAACGAAGTTTTTAATATAGCTATATAAAATGAAAAAGAAGGATACTCCCTTAGATTCGTATTTGAAACAAGAAAACACTGGAACTAGTTAAAAAGTGGCCAGTAAAGATACATGGATAGATAGATATTTACTGAGCCAGAGAATGTACAATCACATGTTTGGTGAGTCGAAGATTTAAGACAATAAAAAATAGATAAACCATTATAAAAACATAAAATTCATACATAAAGCATATACATATAAATGACAATTACATCAACTTGTCTATATAAATATATATTGTATCGCAGGCATCATATTAAAATTATAACACACAGTAGAGTACACACGAATATACAAACATGAGCAACATACTAAAAATATAAAATATAAAAATTAAAAACTGGAAAGAATCTAGGTAACAGAGACGTTTCTACAGTACCTTTTAAAATCATCAACATTATATGGCGCTATGTCTATTAAAATTGATTTGACCTTCCTTTTGAAAAGCAGACCGTTAACACTCTCAGGAAGTTTATTGTAATATTCAACTCCAAGGCTTTTGGATAGATTAATTCTATTTCTTGGAGGTATTATTTTGTTTTCCCTCGTGTATTGTAGCTGTGAATATCGGATAGAGTTTTTCCTCACATGCATTAAATTCTGATGTCCTAGTATAACTGCAAATACTCTCATTATTTTAAGGCTTCTGAATATTTCCCGGCAATGTTCGACGTGCTTAGCTCTAATAATTCTACGAACTGCTGCTTTTTGAGAAGAAGAAAATGTTTCTGTAACTGAGAATGTGAGGCATTCCCCAACTAAGCGCTCCATAGTTCAATAGAGAGTTAAACATACCATTGTATCGATAATATACGCAATTTTGCGTATTGCATATACTACCCTAGCCAGCTTAGTAGAAATTTGGTCAATGCCCCAAAAGGACGCCTCGGGAAAAAAGTTTGGACGGCATTAATCAAATGTTTTTTGACGCGGCCCCTATAAAAACCATAACCAGTTGAAGAATACCTTATTCTATTCGTCTTACAGTTTTAAACTCTCGCATACAAATGACGGATCAGCATCCATTCTTGCGCGCTATGTAATAATCAAAGTGACGGAAAATGTACGTTATCTGTATGTCGAGCGTGCTTCACATACGGTAGCATAGTGAGGACATGTGCTTGATTCAGCCTTACAAGTGCAATAGTATCCAAAGGTATGTTCATCAATATCTGGTACTTCGCATCGTTTTTATACCTGGATGAGTTATACAATACACCTTTTGCAGTGGCCGATTCTGGTAGCAGATCACGTTTTTAACACGCTTTTATTAGCTTGGCCTGTATGTATGTATATATGTATGTGTGTATGTATGTACATATGTATGTATGTATGTATGTGTGTAACGGAATCTTTGAGCATAATTTTCACCAATTTCCAGAAGTTTGAATAAATCGAGACTTCGCACACGTATCCATTATCCTTATGAGGACCGCCAGGATTGATATATTCTTTAATAGATCCTCTGTAGGGGAGTAAGAGAGATAAAGGTGCCGCGCAATCTACGCATGCGTGCAGTTTCGGACTTACTTTTTGTTGGTTCGGACACTCGGTACAGCATACCGGAGGTAGATACTTTTTCAAGGTAGTTAATCCCCTTGTTCATTGCCGAATGTTGCCATTAATCCTGAGTTGGGCTTCGACCGTCCACAAGATGCAAGGTTGTACAGTCGAAGATGCAGTCATTTATTCATCTAGGCTCGCGACTGTTTGCTTGATTGCTATAAGTTAGCAGGAAAAGCCCCAAACAACAGTGAGGCTTTGAATGGAAATAATTCGTAACACATCTCAATATACCACATGTTCACAAAAGTTAATTACAAAGAGTTTATATTACAGTAGTAGATGATCGAACAATCTATCATAATTAATGACCTCAAGATAAAATAATAATAAAATGTGAGTTATTAACAGATAATTCAATTCATAGTAAAAAGCGTGGGGTGCATTTTACTACATTTTCATAACTTTCCTCTCATAGATACTTGCCAATATAATGATTGCAACATTTAATATATCAAGCACAGTTAGGTTAGCTGAAAAAGCGTTTTTTAGTCTTTTTAAACTATTATTTATTGTTATATTATTTCGATAGATTACACTATGGATAGAGGATAGATGCCCAGCTTTCGTTCCAAGCCTAGACCATGCTGAGGAGTTGCCGAATAGAGCGAAACAGCTGTCCATGGTTGTCTGTCTGTCGTCGGATGAATTACTAGCACCAGAATCGGCGGCATCTAGAGGTCACAGCGGTGACCCTGCTTACAATGCGAACTGCGATACAGTTCCAACAAACAGCGAAATTCAATTACGAGCAGGCTAAACTATCAAGAGCCTCACTATATCGTAACTCAAAGTCCGAAGATATTTTGCAGGCAAGTAGCATTTCCCTTGCCGCCTGAATACAGGTCGGAGCAAATTGTTAAAGTGTTAAATGAGTCAAAAATATTCAATTATTCTTTAGTTAAATAGTTTCCGCCTGTGTTTCCAGAATACAGTATATCCAAGATATACTCTCTCGATAAAAAATTCTTCGACCTCAAAGAGAAGCCAGACGTTGTTAAATCGTATACTGTAAACAAGGTACTTACAAATTCTTTAGTGGTCATTTATAAATCCGATATTCTAACTCATTTTACGACAACAGATTTTTCTCCTAGGTACTGGCGGTGTTTCTCAAAAACATATTTTTCATTATAAAAATAACATTGTTTTCCATTATAAAAATACATTCACGGATTCTGATTTCTTGAATCGTATTTCGTAGCATAAAGTTCTAATTAATTTTCCAAATCTGAGTTAACCACTAATTTTACTCATAATCACGTTTAATATGTACACTTTCACCAAATTTTGGCTAATGTAAGTAACTGTCCATCCAATAATCATTGCACTGAATAATAAAGCTATTAGTATGTACTAATGATGACTAAACACGGCAGTATATCAATTAAGATTTACTTTCTGTAACATAGCTAGCATAAAATGAAATATAAATTTGAAGCATCTTATATTTCTTCTTTATCATTGATACACTACGTCTTATAGAGCCTCTAAACGATGAGCAATATGGTACTCTCCAACAATGAATTGCTGAAAGTCCTGAATGGTTATTTCAGGTGGAATAGGTCAGCGGGTCGCTAGGCAACATCATTTCATTAATTTGTATGGGCAACTGTAGTCTCTGATAGTCAGAAATTGTTTCTTAAAAAGAATCGCACGAGTATTATGTAAAAAAAGCTATAAAACGTCAAAAAAACTATAAAAAGTCATCTTGCAGACTAGACTAGTTTGCAAGGTGCAAACAGTCATACCACGTTTGCTCACTAGGATCGTTGTGAGCGTCCATCTATGGAGGAATGACTCAACTACAAGCATTGTTGGTTGCATATATTATGAAGTACTGAGTAGTTTTCATCTCTGATAAGAAAGTTGGTTGAATAGCAAGATCGCATCTGGATGATTCTGTGTATTGGTCTGCATGTGTATAAAATCAGTGATATTGCTGTGTGAGAAAATCATTACTGAATATGCTGCCAATGAAGAATATCTATTAGCTGTGCCCGACGGGTTATTTATATGTTGTCCTTTCCGAAGACAGGTTATGTTCAAAGTTATAAATCACGATTTTTAACATTTTTTTGTGTTTTCAGGAACTTTAAGGAGAATTACGGGAATCACCACCGCGCCCGGGTTGTGTGTAACTACTGTTAGCATATATATATATATATAATACAATTAATTGTTAATTGGAAAATTGGCAAAACTCTTAGGCTTAAGTTGACCCTTTTGACGATAAAATCAAGCTTTCGGCATTCTCTATGGAGCCTTCATCAGGATTCTGAAAACACAATTGTGATCCTAGCGAAAAAAACAGGAGAGATTTAAATTGTCAGACAACTTACTCGACGGTGAGGTTGCAGCCACAAGGTGTTTCAGAACGAACGTAGAGAAGATCGAACTTATAATCAGTATAAAAACAAAATATTGTCTGCAATTTTTAGATACGTACACCTCCTAGAATTTATCAGCAGACAGGCTACAGAGTCGGGAAAGAATAGCTTACGAAATTTTAGGCGTCGCGGGAGCGTACATTTGATTAAGTAGCACCTCGATCGTCGTTTAGTCGGACCATACTAAAAATATTGCGGTATGTTGCTAGTTACTCCATTGCAGCTTGATAATGTAGCAAATATATTACCCGTGTAGAAGCGTCATTAATCTCCCCCAAGAAAATCATGGGAAACTACTGACTACTACAGATTTTATTTACATAAGTTATTAGGTACTTTTAAGTGGGCACTGAGTACCAAAAGTAAAAGGATCGGATAGCTCCACACACTTAAACGGAGGTGTATGTTATGTAGAACATGTTAGTGTGAATAGCATATAATCGATTAAGATTTTTTGTGCAGTTATTGCAAATATCTCTCAGGTAAACCTACAGTAAAAGTAATCATACAAACTACTTTCAACAAGCAAGAACTTTTTTGTGTTTGATTTGATGTTTTTTTCATTCGAAAGCAGTCATTAGATCAGACAGGCACGCAAAGCGATTTATTTTACATTGCGCACTAAGCAATGTAGCAGCAACAGGTTTTCTGGAAATTTAGATTACTTATATCTTATCTCAGACTACGACTCCATCTTTTTGACACTTTATCCGATGGGCATATGTTGGGTCCCGTGCCCAGGAAACTGGATTATTAACACCCGCCAAATGCTTAAAAATTCGGCTTTTCAATATTCTCCAACAGCTAAGTATAAGACGGCCCTGCATTTCATTTATGTAGTGTAAAACCAGCTCAATTTTGTAAGTAGATGAGAAAATATAGGTATAGTTGTCGTCACCGTTCTTGGCGTGTCTTAGTAAGACTACCAGTATCCCTTTATACAGGGTGTCCCAGAAGTCGACGTCAAGCCGAAACCGGGTGATAGGCGAAGTCATAACAGCTATCAGAAAAAAAATTCAAAAAAATTGTATGTATGTGTTTTGAAAATTATAGGTCTTTGAAGAAAATATAGAAATTTCACACCCTACGGCAGTCTGTCAACTCCTGTTACTTACAAATATTAACTTTTTTTTGATTTTATTTTTACAATGTAATGATGAATAATGCATCTTCAAACTGGTGTCTCAACCTTACTGCCAACTTTTCTCGTTCAGGAAAAACTGCCACTTATTTCCCAACCAAGTATTCCAAAGTAAAACTGTGCTCAACTTTAACTGGCTGTACTGGAAAAAAATGTACTACGAGAGTTTGGCAAGTAACCTTAAAAGTTGGCGCATTTAATAAGGATTCCAAAATGGTATAACACTTAGAAGATTACTCGTTAACTTATGCACAATTTTTATTTGAAGAAAAACTGATGAAAATTTTTCAAAATTTCCTAATTAAACAGCGATTATGAAAACGCACAAGGACCCTTAAGGATAACTGTTTGCACAACAGTGGGCGTCAAAATGCTGCTGATGATGATTTACCTTTACAGCAAATGCTCAAACTGTTTTCCTTCAGCCGCAATACACGCTCGACATCTTAAAAAAGATCGGGTTATTAAACGAGCGAATCCACGGTTATTAACAAACTCAGCTGCTTCCAATAGTCTTTGCCGTAGCTCAGCTACATTTTGAATCGGCTTGAAATACACTTTTTTTTTACAGTTCCCCAGTAAAAAAAATCTAACGGATTCAAATCTGGTGACCGGGCTGGCCACGGTATTGTACCAGACCGCCCTATCCATCTGCCTGGAAAGTTTTGATCGAGATACTCATTTTCTAAATGATTTTGCAAAAAACCTAAATCAACCTCAGCAGTCAAAGTCTCTGGGAACTCAAACGGACCGATTATTTTACCATTTAAAATTCCTGTCCAATGGTTTATCTTGAAGCGATATTGAGATTTATCTTCTCTCATCAAATGTGGGTTTGCTACGTGCCACTCGTGTAAGTTATGCAGGTTCATGTACCCATCTTTCTTAAATGTGGTCTCATCTGACCATAAAATTTTTTCAAAGAACCGTGGATCTTCCATGTGTCTTTCTAACATTGTGCGACAAAAAGCAACTCGGGGCGCATAATCCCGGGGCAGAATAGCTTAGGAAGAGAATGAAAACAGCAGTCCCCTGTTACCCACTTCATGCGTACCTTAGAGACTAGCAGATGCACTGAAGATTAGTCTGCGCAGCGTTCCGCCCATGGTACGGAGACTCGATCTGTTGTTTACTTATTTCATATGGCATTGATGACGTAACCGCCAAGAACGGTGACGACTACAGCTATACCACTGTTCACATTTCTTTTAATGTGATTTTACGCATCTGCCACTTTTGATCTTAAAACGATGGTTCGGCTAATTGCATTTTGTATACAAACATTTTCGGATACATCACAAAATTATCACAGTTGAATTCGGACATCATACCATCAATTATGGAAATACATGTGGAGATCGAGACTTGACCGGAAACGAATTCAAATGAATATTGATATAACTTGATATAGTAATAAATAATAATAAAAAACTTTCTTTGGAAGTAAGTATTTTACATTTCCGTCCATTTAAATTCAATGGCTGACATCTTCATGGTCACCGGGATAGACAATGGGTATAGGGGGGAGCTAATTAAGCTCTCACACACGGAAAATCATTTTCTAACCTTGATTTGGAATTTAAATGCAGCAAAAGTATCAGTTCCGTGTAATATCTATCTATTTAAAAACTGACTGTTGCGTGTTTGGTATCAGTGAAATAAACTTCTCATCCCAGTAGTACCACACTTTTCTTAGGCACAACGTAATAGTTACACATCATATTTTCCATACATTTGATATTGAAGCAAAAATATGACAGACTCAATTTCTATAGTCGTAGATGAGTGCGATATATCGTACTTACATGAACGCATCTCCATAGGTACCTACACTGAGGAAAAGAGTTCAATTAAACAGTTGTTTTGGAATAAACTTTTGATTAGCCATAATAAATGTTTTAATTATTCTACGTAACTAAATTATTTTATTTAATTGAGCTGATTTTTTGGAACCAGTTTAATTGGAAGTAATATACTATTAAACGAATCTGCCTGAAAATAGCAAACTAATACAAACAGTTGAACTGTTTATTTGAATCGTGGTCTCGGCAGGACTCGGATTCGTGAATGATCGGGGCTATTGTGACAGACGCAGTGCCGATGACGCGCTTCGAACTTCTCAGTTTCATTTGTGATTTTCGCAAGGATCTTCATATTCGAATGTTGCCATTATTGCTGTAGTAGTTGTAAAGTGGATCAGTTATTAGTGACCCATAACCATGGTCAGAATATTTCTTGCTCCCAATGGAACACTGATAGGGGAGTTACTGCTGACGTGATGGAATGGGAAGAACTTTGATATTTCATTCATAAAATGCATTTATACCAAACATGTGCTAAACATAGGATTGAAATTCTTTTCTTTCATATTGTATGTATTCTCAGTGTAGTCAGGTTAGGATTGCATTATAGTTTTTTGAATAGATTGTAACCAATCTTTACATTCATTAGAAGAAAGTGAAAAACTTACGCTTCCTTCATGTCGGCGAATATGGGTGAAACTACATTACATGGAAAATCAAGAGCCGAAACGAAGGAGTGAGAAGTAACTGAATTAAAACACTTGACGCATCTTTTTTATTGATCACAAATGTATTGAAATGTTTCATAAACTTATTACTACGAAAATGCATGATCAGAGTATATCAGCTTTAAGCAAGCGACTCTGATACAGTGGCAGACTTTAACAATTTTATCGAAAATACCAAAACAGTATGAACATATTCACAAACCCCGGTAAATCGCCATGCAAGGTGGGGTATCCTATCCCCAAAGTGTCATTACACCCAGTCCATCTGTAGGCAACCAGAACCAGATACGCTTATTCCGCCGCACACATAAAATCTCGGTTCCGTTCGCTTGTTTGGTGTTCAATAAGGTTAGCTGATCCAGTGATAAATTACACCTGTTGCTCGTAACTCCTCTGTTTGTTAACATTACCGCACAGTTTCTTTTAAATAGAGCCGTTTAAATTTAAACATGTGAAAGTACTACAGCGATGTACGCAAAGCTTTTCTACCTAATCATAGCAACATTTGCTGTCTCGATTTTGATAGTCCTATATTATTCATCACTGCAAAGCGAAGAAATATACGTGAAACTGATCGAGGAACACGATATAGAACCATCAAGCAATGACCTACCACAAAAACTGTACGATATCCTCGATTTCAAGTACGTTTTGAACAACAAGTCCCTATGCACAGCTGATACTGAGACACTTATCTTGGTGACGTCATACTTCGGCAATGTGGAAGCGAGGAGCGCCATGCGTAGAGCTTTTTCGCGGGAAGAATTAGATGTTATGAAAATCAAAAGAGCTTTTTTATTGGGCATCGCACCAAGCGATAAGTATACTAGTCAAAAGTCAGTTTTGGACGAAAGCAGGAGGTTTGGAGATATTATTCAAGGAAGTTTCGTTGAAGCTTACAGGTAAATGATCTAATGTTAGTTCAGTGATCACTTGAGTCGTGCGAGTGGCCTAAAGTTGTACGTCGAGTGGGATGAAGCTACGCGAAAAAAATCATGGCTGTATTAATTTGTCTTTTGCTCACGTCAAAGTGAAAGGTGACACGTCGCTTCATTTTAGTGCGTGGGCTCTCATTTGATAATGAGTAACTTAGCCCAGCCGAATAATTTCGCTTCTTTTCCACGCCCCGTCGGTGATCTAGCTCCCTTCTACCGCTATGCCAATGGACTTTGCTCCTCAGAGCAATCTTCCATGATGCCGCCGCGCGATGAGCATTGCCCTACAGATCCAGGCTTTTCCCAGTTCTATTAACCTTAGGCAGTTCAAAAATCGGATTAACAAATAAGTGTATTTAAGCTCCTTATAGCAGCTGCGGTGTCCCGGTATTTAGGGTTCTGCCTCGGTATTAAAAAAGGCACCAAATTCGAATATGGCCATCATGAAACCTTTTACATATTCATTTTTCTGCATGCGTGAATAGTCATTTTATATACTTGACGCCATTTTCTTTCTAGGAACCTGACTTACAAGCACACCATGGGATTGCGATGGGCAGAGCAGCACTGTTCAAATGTGAAACAAGTTATAAAAATGGACGACGACATAGTGGTAAACGTAGAAAAAATACCAGACCTGCTGAAATCTCTTGGAGTACCCTCTTCCAAAAATTTTATAGCCGGTTATGTTTTGAGAAATATGGTGCCCATTCGCGAACCAGCCAACAAATGGTTTGTTACACAGGAAGAATACGATCTCAGTACTTACCCTCCGTTCGTATCAGGGTGGTTCTACGTAACTAATCCTTACACTTGTGCAAATCTGTTTAATATCAGCCAATCCATGAAGTATTTTTGGATTGATGACACTCTGATCACGGGCATCTTAGCGGAGAAACTGAGTATCCAACATGTTGATATCAAGGCGAATTTTACCCTACATTCTGAAATTCTAGAATGTTGTATCAACGATATTCGATCGAAAAACTTGAGATGTGATATTTTGATTGGACCAAATGGTGGAAAAACTAATTTGTTTTATGATTTTAATACAGCTATTGGTATATGCAATTTGAATTTGTGTCCAGACAGGACCGTGCCGTTGGATAAGACGTGTATTGTCAAAAGAAAAGAGACCTTAGGGAGAGGGAATCCTATTGTTGAAAATTATAGATTGAGCTGATCTGGGATATTTTATTTTATGATTTATAATTGTTAATCAGAATCTCCAGATATGATGCTATAAAATATTTTTTTATCACTCGTAAGTTTTATTTTAACAGTCAATAAACACTAACCAGGAATGAAACAAGCTTGAATGAAAGAATTGTGAAATTAGAGGCAGACCGGCCACCGTGAGGACCCGCCGCATCGGCCACTTGGACGAGCTCTTATGCACCCCTATATTCCCTAAACCTTAAATGATGCGCTGGGGAAACAAAGGTTTTTCATCCAAAGTAGATTTCGTGTGGCAATTTATTGATCACCCTTGTATATAAGCGGTAATATGGCTCCCCATCTGCATTTGTATGCACTTCTGTGCGGTTTTTTTCTTCCTTGCTGTCCTTGATCTATGGCCTACCAAGATGTCAGAAATTTCTTGTTCTGTGAACATAACCCATTTCTTTTGCGGGAGAATCCAAAAATGTAAATAAATATTGACCGTACGTTTTTGTTTATAATAGAGAAGTATTCAGTACTTCTGTGTAAAGTGTGAAGTCTATCAGTTCGATTCTACAAAATAATGTCGAAAAGGAACCGCAGTTTCGAAAATAGCAGCAATAAAAAACATAAATTGGATGATGATATAGATGCTCTTTGGGGCGACGATTTGGATGAAACAGCATTAGATGTCTGTATTAAACTAGCCACACAAGCATTTGAAGAGGTAAATTGCCATACAATTTAATCATTTCAAGGAAATACCGTCACATCTCTTTTTAGGAGAAAGTATGTACACAAAACACCTCACTGCGTCCATATAGTTTCTTCCAAAGACCTGATGAAATTTTTGCCTCAACTCAAATAAATTCAAAACCAAGCACAAGCAAAGCATTTTCAACATTCACTGATATCCAGTCTGAAGATATCAACTTACGCCAAAAATATGAAGAAAAAGAGGGTGAGGTTGCTATACTCAGGTCACAAATTAAAGAAATAAAAGTGACTCATAATATTAAGCAACAAAAGATTCAAAATGAGTGGAAACATAGATTGAGTGGTACTGAGAAGGAGGTACAGTCTATCAAAAGTGAATTAGAGTTTAAGGTAAGCTATGCAAAACAAAAAGATTCTCATACTCCTAATACAGAGGTAAAAATCTAGATTTGTTACACCATTTAAGAGAACCAAACTTTTAACAATATAATAAACTACTTTTTTGTTTTATTATGTTTTAGAATCTAGAAATAGCTAACTTGAAACAACAGCTATCAGTGTTAGCAAAATGCAAAATCAGTACACTTCCTGCTACAAATAATGCTAATGATACAACACTTTTGAGACACAATAGTAGTAAAGAAATTAAGGAAATTCCAACCTTGAGGACCTGTTCATTGTATGGATCTCCACTTATAGGTAAATTTGCCTTTTTCCATATCTGTTTATCAATCAATGTTTTGAATCTATGAACTAAGATGTTTGCTTATGATTACTATCTCATACTTTGGTACTATTTTAGCATTTCCTCTCAAAGATGTTTTATGTGATGGGTTTCTTAATGCACCAAAGAAAGAGAAGCATACAATCAAGACAAAGGTGATAAATCCTTGTAGGAATGCTATTCCATATCTTCAGAATAGAACAATTTCTTTAAGAACCATTGTGGAAGAAACTAGCTTAGAAATCTCCCATATAATGTCCAGTGTGTATGCTTTAATAGGTAGTTCTGAATCAGACTTGGACTCGGATGAATCTATAGGACACATAGACCGGGTAATGTTATATTTTTTTGTCAAAGCCAAACCAAAATTATCTTTCATATTCTAGTTGATATGGGCAACATATGAGTTACTAAATAGCTTCAAGGGGCTGTTAAATGCAATAAAATTAAATCTGAGAACAGAAGACCTCTTAGGCTCAGATTCAAATTATTTAAATAATGGTGGATCAGGCTTCAGTCATAGGTAATACAGCAGCTGTATTTGAATATATGTATATATACGTATATATTATTGAGTTCCTGAGTGAAGAAAACATTGACCTAAGAATTGCCATTTTTGCATACCAACTTTTTGCTTTTTTAGTACAGACTGCAGTTATGAAGTAGGAAAAAAAGCTGGTGTCTTAATGCAGTTTTTTAGCATACTTGTATGCCACAGTCACTATGCAAAAAAGTATTTTTGTAAACAAAGTGGGATCAAATGGTCAGATAGTTTGAGAGGACTTGTGAGGGTTCAAGGGATTACAAGCATTACTGGAAATGATATGCTGGAAAAAATATTGAAAACTGTGAAACTGATAGGTGAAATTGTAAGTTTTTTCCATATATTTATCCAGTTTAGATTATATATTATCATTGATTATCATATTCTACCTGAAGATAGCCAACTTAATGCTATAGTCGAAAAATTATTGAAGATAAAATGAGGTAGCATCATCTATGAGAAATTGCCACACATTTCTATATTTACTAATACACCTATATGCTGAACATAGGTGGCTGGAGCAGCATCTATGAGACACTAACCTTTTCAAAGTATATATACAGTATCTCATTTTATCTCGGATAATTTCTTTGACGCGAAAATATAGCTTTAAGTTGGCTACCTTCAAGTAGAATACATTAATCAATGGCATTATCTTTTTGTTTTGTTTTAGAGGCTGTCAGATATAACACCAACTTTTCTAGCTTCCAGTATAAACTTATTTGTTTCTCTTTGTAAAATAGGGTGCTGTGAATTTATGTAAGTATGTTCAAAAAATATGTCTAAAAAATCTAGTTGGGCTATCAGTAATTAGATATGAATCTGGGTTATTGTTCTTGTTCTGTTTCAGAAACGATGTATTCTGTGAATTCACCAAAGAGACAATCTTTCTCAGAGCATCACATGACATAGTTTTTCAACTGACATATTTATTCAGGGAAGCATCACTGATTCCATCATTTTCAGAGTTTTTGTTCAATAAAGCCAAAGCTAACTCAACAAATACAAAAGGAGTTATCTATTTCAGTAATGGTAAGTTATTTCAAATGATAGACAACAAACATTATTTTTTTTTGCGTTAGGACTAGGAGTCCATGCAGCCAGTCACTAGGTTTCTTACAAATATGTATTAACACATGACGCCACAATATCCATGGCTTCGGAATGTAATTTCCGAAGGCAGATTCGACCGGCCGGCTGATCAGTAGCACGACACTCTGACCCACCCGGCCAACCGTGGTTCCCAACAAACATTATGTTATATGCTCCATAAGATCAACACAATTGAACTCTACCTAGGGGCCATTTATATATGTATATTATTTAAGCAGATTTTTTACAATTATCAGCCCCCCCCCCGCCTGCTTGTCAGCAAAAGTAAGCTCTCTTCCCTCCCCCCCTTCCATGCTTACATTATTTTTATACATTTGAGGCTTTCACACACATGTTCAGAATATCATTTAATGTCTGGAAAATGAGGAAGATCAGTCTCACCCTACCAAACATACTTTGCACTAACATGGTAAGCATGATTTTCCAGGGAACTCGATACCTCCGCTAATACATTTTCGGCTAACTCAAAATTGGATTTTTCCTAATGTTCATTAATTGTTACGCCACGTTCTTCGTAATGAGGTCCAAAAGAGTCATGAGGCATTAAGCACAAGCCAGGACTCGACTAAGAGGAGCCATTCTGCGCTTCACTCGGTTATACGCATTTCTATCATGAGCATTTATAGCTAAGATTCTAAGCGAGTAAGCATATCTATATTTGGGGATTCTCTGCTTTCGAGCATAGCAAGCGGGTTGCCATATCGTCGTCCGTACCGCAAACAGGCGTAACTGATTTTATATAAATTTTCAGTAGAAGCAAAATGAATATCGACAGTTATTTGTTTTCATATATCTTTACTACTTTAGACAATATGAGCATAGCCTATCGCCTTGGCAAAGTGAGGCCAAATCATTATATTTTTTATTTGTGATTTTTCGTTGGTCGCTATTCGGAGGAGACAGCTCTTTTTTTAAAATATCGGAAACATTTCTTTTCAAGGTTATGGACCTGTAGTCTGTTTGTTTATGGCTAGTCTTGAAATAGATTTTATTGCAATTATCACTTGTCACTTTGAATTCCATTATATTTTTCCAATTCACATCCATGTCTTTATCATCTTTTCGAATAGATAATACTCTTAAGTCTGATGCGAGTTTTCTGATGTCAAAAAAATTACGATAGTCTAAGGGACGAACCTTATATGGCTGTTTGTTCCTTGCTAATGCATAGACTGGCAATAACTGGCTCGGCACAATAATGTCACCTGCATTTTTCAAAGCGTAACTTATTGCACGTGTGCTGAATTGCCTTCATTTTGTCCATGACAAGAGGCAAAACATTTTAACGATATCTCTTTAACGTTTGAGAAATTACTGACGAGCTATAAAAGAGTGGTGGCCATTATCGAATTCTTATTTTGGCCACTACAACCATCAGCAAATAAGTCAACAGTATTGTAGCCTTGTTTGTCTTTTTCGGAAATAAATAAATAAACAGCATATTTCCGAGCTACCACGTTTACTTTCAGTCTCACTCCATGTATAACAGAAACATTCCCGAGATGCTACTTCATACATAGTTAGATTGTAGACAGCAAGCCGTGTTTTATAAAATACGGAACAATGATTAGAAATTGGTAAGTATATAACTTGCTGGAGATCAAATGTAGCACATATAGCCTTTGTATCATTTTTAGCTTTTTCTTTGCAGCTATTCTCTATTTCTCTTACCGTTTCCTTTTCTATAATGTGGGCCAAGTACTCCTTTTCCAAATTAGCCTTTACTTCTTCCGATCCTTCTCTGTAACACGTGCAAAGACCACATTGATATTTTTTTGGTTTGTGAAATGAGAGGTTCATGGATCTGAAAATTTTTCTATACAAAGAAAAACTTCCCTTTGTTTGTTGGTCTTCCAGTTTGTACATGTGATACATTGTACTCAGAGATAAATCTTCATGTAGGTATTGTTTAGTTGAGGACTTCCGGCAGTATTGTGACTCTACTCTGGGGAACCTATTTATGTGCTCTATAATACTTTTTCTAATGACTATGTCTCTTGATAATTGTAACTCCCGTCGACCTCCACGATTTTCTTTTTCTAGCACACCCGTTGTTCTATTCAATTTCTTTATTGCGGTTCTGCAAACTTTCTCACTTATCCCAAGGGTCCCAAGGAACATTTTTTTACGAACTGAATTTCGGAAACCTCAAATTTCATTGTTTGTACTACTTAAATTAATTTGATATAGTAGTATGCATTCTGTAAGTCAAAAGGACATATCTTAGTTACCACTGAGAGAGTAGCAAAAAATGGACACCGCATGTAGGCGTATCTTCATTTACGCCTATTTGTGGTGTATTGTATTTCATTTCTGAGATGTGCGACGTTTAGTTTTATGCTGATATCTCTATCTCTATCTGCGGTATGGACGACGATATGTGCTCAAATCAAAATAGTAAAAAAGAAATATTGCTGTAATCACTATTTAGACCCCCCAACCCCCATGTCATCAGAAATAATTAAAGTACAAGGTCCCCGCCCCGCCTTTAGTGCTTACGTATTACTTGAATGGTCCCCTAGTTCTCGATAGAGAAATGCTATGAATGTAATATTGACTAATACTCTGATAAGATGCTTGCAGATTTTACATATATGCAATGCAGTTTGAGAATGCTTCAAATCAAGTTGGGACCCTGCCACTCAATATCACATTGAATATGCTTTCATTTATGTACAACACATATAAGTCAGCTTATTGGATTCATCACACTGACATCAAAGGGTATGATACAGATTCAAATAAAGTCACGTTTTATCGTTTATTTTCGTCTACTTTTAGGTGTGACTGTTTAGCACAGCTGTACAAGTTGGTGATGGACATCATTTTTAAGGCATTGGAGAGTTACAAGAAAATAAAAAAGAAATGTGAAAGACAAAAGAGTAAGGAGACACATTGTCTATTTTAAGCTAATATTGACACCATGAATGCATTATTCAAAGACTGAATATTTTATAGGTCAGTGGGTCGACTTTTTTAAGAATAGTGTAACTAAAAATGTAGTACATTTGATGACATTCCATAGTTATGAGTTGACAGAAAAATATATCACAGTTTTGGCAGAATACAAGGAAATAGAGAAACTGTTAGAAGATGAAGGTTGTAAGTATGAATTAGATTTTGTTTTATTCAGTTTTATTTAATGACATTTTTCTTCCAGTGAGTGATGTGGAAAATAGCACCATAAATGAAGAAATGCCAGATATTGACAGTGCATCGTTCCTAGACTGGTGAATCATCATTTTTTTGATAGTTTTTAGAAATGATCGGAAAACCACTTTGTCGCTTAAGGGTAGCCTGTCTAGGGGCCATATTGTCAGTCGTTCTTACAATTTGGCCTGCTTGATTTTGATAGCCTTTTTTCTCCTTCAGGAAGGCTAGATTTCTATTGATCCGTGTAAGCGTCAGCGCTTTCTTATTCTGTGGCTAGGTTTCCTTTTGAATTATGAAATTTCAGGCTGAAATAACATATGATATAAATCAAAAACATAAGCAATTTGAGGCAAATAAATATTTGTAACATCACCTCAAGGAGCCCTACAATAATTTGTATTCAGAATGTTCATGCTTTTGATTTATACCATGTTTTATCAGCCTAAAATTTCGTACAACTTAAAAAGAAATCATAACTTCACAATAGGAGAGCAGTGATGCTGAAACGGAACAGTAGAAGTCCCCAGCCTTTCTGAAGGCGAGAAAATACTATGAAAATCAAGGAGGTCATAGCCTTTTCTCTCCTTCAGAACTTTCTAGATTTCACATGTTCCGTGTGAGTGTCATGCTATTGTGAAGTTGTTTTCTTTTTGAATAGTAGGAAATTTCAGGCTGGTGAAGCAAATGATACAAATCAAAAGCATGGACAATTTGATGCAAATAGATATTTGTGATATAACCTCAAAATAGAGCGCTGACACGGAAAAGTAGAAAACTATAACAATCAAGGACGCCTACAATTGTAGGAACGACTGACGATACGGCCCTAAGGGACAGGTTTTGAGAATAACTTATGTTTTCATAAAGTTATAAATCACTTTTCGCGGGTGCTCATCGCTTTGTGAAAACCGAAATTATTCTCAAAACGTCAATACCTATATATATTATCATCTCATATTTATTTTACTTTTAATGCCTTAGGCGGAATATGGCACGATTTAGTTTAATAGCAAAAGACAATGTATGCTTGCAATTAATTTTTTTTCTAACCTGTATATTTGAAATGGTTGCCAGTTATCTAGACAGCCTCCTACTCATATAAATACATACAGATAACTGTGAATTTGGATATTCCCCTAAAGTGTGATCTGTACAAAACCAGACATTTGGAGATGTTCTTGTCTTAACTAATTGTTAAATGTTTTCCATGTAGGTATTTATTAAAAATGTATTCACTGTTATTGTGTAATTGTTGCCATTTAAAGTGTCTTACGTTTTTAAATTATACAGAACTATGGCAGAAATTGCACGTTCATTGATTTCAGAGAATGGCCAGGTGAAATTGTTAGGAATATTCATGGATTATTATGTGTCCTAATAGTCGGTACCCAAAGGTAAAATTGTGAGAAAAAAATATATTAAAAGTTTTTTTTTGTCCGCGTTTGTATTCCTGCAATTGTCATTTTTCAATATGTGTCTATAATACATTATTTGTTGTCTACTTTTTATATGAGCAAATGCAATTGATTCTTCCAAATTATATTACTAAAAATGGTGCATTAGTTTTCCTTGGCCCACTCTTATCAAAATTATCATGATTCAGATTTTAATTATGAGATGTTTGAAATAAAATAAATTTAAAATAAACTGTCTTTTATTCAATCCCTAAACATTTATATTATACTTGCATATAGGTTATTTTACATTATGACAGATAGTAGTAATATAGTTTCTTAGTTTTCCTTTCAAGACTGCAGTACTATTTGTTAAATAAGTTCTTAATAAGTTGCTCAACAGTATGCTAGTGATAATGTTAGATTTAATCATTCCAAAATATTTCTTAAGTGTGGTTGAAATGGACTGTTCCACTACTCTCCAAAATGATTAGAAAAATTACTGCTACTCAAAATCTGATAAAAGTAGATGGAACTTTGCTCTCAGGCAACCAACTTGATCACAGTCTATTGCTTCTAACTGAAACTAACACATCATTTCCTTTTTTACTGGCAAGAGTTCCTAAACATTTAATTTCTACTAAATAAATAGTTCATTCTTATATAAGTTAATTGATGGAAAATTTGAATTCTTGTCTAAGAAATCGGAAAATATATTGCACTGTATTGTATACAGCCAGAAATATTGAAAGCTAAATACAGTTATAACTTCTTATCTAATTTACTTATCAAATTATCAATCATAGTAGCATCAACCAAACCTATGAACTTATCCACAACCAGTCCATTCCTAACAGCAATCACTGCAGGCACTGCCTTAACTTCAAATGTATGAACTAGCTCTGCATTATTTTCTACATCCACAATTGCCAAGTCAATATTGTCTTTAGGCCCTATCAATTCCTTCATTTTTGGAGTCAATATGTGACAGGGCTCACACCATTCTGCATGAAAGTTCACTATGACCGGTTTCTCTGAGTTCATCACTTTTGAGAGGAACTCATCATTATTATCTATGGTTATCACTTTTTTCAAAGACGATGTGGTGCTGAAAGGAAATTTAATTAAATTGGTTAAGATGTTGAAGATCATTCAGTAAAACAGGGACAGTTTTACATTTCACAATAGTTTATTTTAAAAAAAATTAACTTTAATGTAATATGAAGAATTATGTTCATAAAAATAATTAAATGAATAAAGTAAAACAGCCTGTTTTTTTTTGCTTTTACAAAGTAAGGCAGTGTAATAACCCGTAACTGGTGAGATGCCACTTTTTCACATTGAGGGTGATGTGGAGTCTCTCAGACTCTCGAGTATTTTTTTAGAATACGAATTAGTACCTGTTTTATTTCAATTTCATGGTCTAGTCTGGAGTGTATTTATAGTATGTATTTATGTTTGGTTTGTTATAAATTTTATTATAAACATCAAATTTGATGATTATCGTTAGCCTTATTCGTGTTGGGCTGCTGTATTTTTGACGCATTTGTTCCAATTCTTTGTTCGTAGAAGTTACGATAATGGCTATCATTTTTTCAATGAACAAAGTGCTCAAAATTTTAACTGGATTTGCTTCATGTCCTGAATTTAGAGCTTTGTCTTTCAGACCAAGTAGCGTAAGAATTATATTATGGCTGAATGTACGCACATTCCTTGTTGATTCCATAAAGGACCATGTTTTTTTTTTCATAAAAGTGTGTTCTTTCTGTAGTCGAATTCTTAAAGCTATTTTCACTTGAAAATGACTTCTGTGTTATGTCATCGTCGAGTAGTCTGCTCGCTGTCGTGGTCACTCACAATTTCACTGCTATACCATTGTGAGCGTACTCTCATAGTCTTTACCGTTTCTTGTAACAGTCCCTTTTAATGTAGTGGCATGTAATTCCTTCTAAAATATCATATATGTAAAAACAAACATTAAAACTATCAAATACAAAAACCTACTATAAGAGTGAGGTGGAGTCCGTGAGACTCCCTAACATATAAAAACACAAACACACGTTTCAGGTAGATCTGCAACCACACAGGAAAACAGGACTCACATATCCAGATTAAAGGTAAATCGGTGTACATTGTTGTCACTTGATACAAAAAGTTAGTTATAGCTAAAAAATATCTGCCGGAGTCTGATAGACTCAACCTCGCCAGTTACGGGATGAAAAATTGCCCCATATTCCCAAACCATGCGGAAATAGGCCAGTCAGGGGCAGCACAACTGCTCTCACTCACTCCTCCCCCCATGCTCTTCAGTTTTGAATTGCTGACAACTATCAATGTCAGATTTACCCTGCCAGTGATAACGTACCTAAAGAGCCTACTTTTATATAGTAGATTTGCTAGCGATTTACTCATTGTTTTTCAACTAAAGTTAAAGCTTTTTATGGGTTTGGGATGAATTGGCTCAATGCAATGCAAAACAAAGAAGAATCCAAATCCTATGATTCCAGATAACCAGATGAAGCCTACAAATATCTTCTTATAGATATCAGTGTAATCTTTCTCCTGAAACAAATATCAATTTAGATCAACAAAAAGATTGTTCTTTGTAGTAAATTACAGTCGTTTCAGTTTCTTCAGCAGGACGCCTTTTATCTGTTGGTATCACCAGAAGCAATATGCTTATTATTGTAGCACAGCCAAGGGCAATCCAAGATATATTGTTTTGCAGTTTAACCCCTACTATAAATAAAACTAAGGCCACAATCCATACGAATATAAGTATCAAAAGCCCAATTCCAACGTTTCCTACTGTGGTCATCACTGGAAAGCAAAATGAGTGAAATATTTTAAGAATTGTAAAAATAAACAGGTTATGTGGATAAAGGATTACTTATGATTACTTACGCTAGTTTGGCTACTGTTTGTATCGTCGGTAACTATTGGAGAAAACCATAACAATACCTAGCACCTCGCATTTTTCAAATTTAGATTCATATAAAATATAGGAAGTACTCTATTAGTCTATTTTTGTATTTTTATTTTGATTCCGGTGATAAAAAAAACACAAATCAGCTGACAGAATCTCAGAAAAAATTAATCCCTTCTAGTTCAGGCAACCGTCTATACGTATCGGAGAAACATGGATTGCATAAACGTCACACGCATATAGAGCTAAGGTATGGTTTAGGGGTAAGGGATAAGAAATAGTCCAGGAATACAAGACAAACATTGGAAATAATAAATGGATAATGCTCCGGCAATTGTTCAAATGACAGGAGTAGCGAGAAAATGGAAATGTTGCCAAAAATGCTAAAATAAATATTTTACGAAACCTGAAAGTTTAAACGCGTCTCCAGAGCGAACTGTTATACCTAGGAGTTTGAGATTTTATAAGATCTCATGCCTCCATATGTTCTCTTCCGAAAACAAATTCGAGACCTATAGGAGACATGACCCGCCCTACAGTAATATAAAAATTTCAATTTTTGGTCCAAAATATCAATTGGATACAAAAGCCTATCCAACCAATATAAAAGCGCTAGTACAAAATTCCATTCATATAGGCGGTTAGGCTGGTCCACCTGATTTACAAAAAATTAAGTTCGGGCATTTTTCGGAAGTCATTGGAGTTGTCAGCCCAACGAACCAGTGAAAAATTTCGAAAACCTTACTTCCGACTGGAATATGTGCTGAACGAATTATCATATCAGAATTTGGAAGTCATTTTTAAACTCCTTGGACAACGGTCTCCAAGCCAAACCGTTTGACCTAGGATCCTGAAATTTCACGGGGCCTCATGTCCCAACACGTAGGGGAGCGCAGGGTAATGGGAGCCTACTAAGGGAAAACTTTCATAAAAACCACATTTATTAACTTTTTTATAATTTTTAATTAGGAACTCTTAGAATAATCATACAGGTATGTTTTAATCACTGTTAGGACTTATTGCAGTCATATATTAAGGTACAATACCGATTCTACAAAAAAAGTCAATCGCTTCCATTACCCGACACGTGCGGGTAATGAGAGCCCATATCACGCTCATATGGGAAATGGGAGTCATACTATTTAGTATTGCGCAAATGTTAAACTAAACATACTTTCAATGACTGTGATCTTAGTTAGCTACTACGATCTATTCATTGTAACACAAATAAAAAAATACTTTTTAAACAAAAACAAAAAAAATAAAGATAAAATTATTAAAGAAAAACATATGACCCAGATTTTACGGATCCAAACAAAATGTACAAATATAAGAAGCTGGACTATCACTTCCAGAGCATTCTTCATGAGTCCAGTTTCCGCAACTTCTGCATCGGTACCACATCTCTCCACTTTTTCCCGTGTCTAAGCAAATTGCACATAAAGATTCCTCTTCTGAGTATTCTGACTCGTCGTCGCAAATTGTACATTCGTCAATATGATCATCAGATGAATCTTCATCATCACTATTAAGCAATTTTTTTTTGCCTTTTTGGCCCCTTTCTTTCTGGTTGTGGTCTTCTTGTTTTTAACCCCTCTATCTTTGGTAAGTTTCCGTTTGTTACATTTACCTTCGGTGCAATTTTCTTTATTACAGTCTTTTTATTTTTTTTTTAGTATTTTTCTCTTTTTCAGTCCTTTTCCTCTTCTTTTCTTCAAATATTGCCTTCATTGGAGTGCTTGTTATAATTTCAGAATGTTGTTTGTTCTTCAATCTCGTTTCTTTATTAGTTATGAGTTGTTGTGGCAGTGGGCTCACAATTTTTAGAATATCAACAAAGTCAGTTACTGTTTCATCGTCATTAGTATCGGTCTCATTGAAATATGATTTTGACGGAGTTGCGGTAGATCTGACGATATGTTCCTCCCGAATAGCAGCTCGTGTTGGTTGGAATTGGAGCTGGGCTTACAGCAGCTTCCTCCTGAACTACTTCTGGTTGAAATTCTGCATCACAAAGAATAGATGGACTCATAGCAGGGCTAGCAGTCGATGGTTTATTAACTGTCTGCTTTGACGTAGATGGAATAGGAGACATGTTAGTTGGCTGCTGTCCTGCGTCATGCACGAGCACAGATAATACGTATGTAAAATGGTGTGAAAATATATTTTAAAAGCTGGTAGGGTAGTGGGAGCTACGTCGGGTAGTGAGAGCCATTCTAGGCTCCCATTTCCCGCTGACCACCATTTTGAAAAGTAATAATATAAATAATGTAATTCTAATTCCAATCGTAATTAAACAAATTGCACTAGTTAGTGAATGAATCTACGGATGATATGAATATAAACAAAATAAAATAATAATCAAGCTTCATGCTTACCTTATCGCTGGCAATCCACAATTTTTTATAAGGACGCAGCGAAAAACAAACAACAGTCCCTCGTGACTGAACTCATTGCACTAACGGCTCGTACCGGTCAGACGAAGTTTCTCGAATGTTGGCGGAAGCAGCCGAATGTTTACCAATCATGTAAGTTGCCTACATTCCGTTCAATCACCATAGCTCCCATTTCCCGACCGCTACCGTTACCCCGCGCTCCCCTACTTTCCAAAAAAAAGTTTTGAGCTCTATCTGAGATATGACCCGCCAAGTCAGGTCGTTTAGTCTTGACTCTATGACAAAAATGCAGACAAGGCAGGTGTAGGAGTAAAGTAGTAGTAGGTAGTAAAGAAGTCTTGATAGTATATTTTGTCGTTATAATTGATAACATCACAGCTTACAAGTGGTGGAGATATCCTCTTTTAATATCCGATGTCTTACTTCTCTTTTAATCGTGATACCGTGTCCGTTGAAGCTCAATAAGGATGTTGAACAAGGAACATGAGGTCAAAAGAATGCTCATATGTTAGAAACACTAAAAAGTCTGCTTTATCTTAATATCTAAAAAACTATCGGATTGACAAGGATAGCGTCGCGGGGGATGTACACGAAATTTTAGTGTTAATTTTCATATGTATTTTTCTCAGAATTTTTTCAGACGTGACAACACGGTCAGAGAATAGGAAACACTATGCTGTAGCATGCCGTCGGAACCAGCAGCTGCGGCCGGTCGGTACGCGATCCGTCTTCTGAAAATATTTTAAGTTTTCAGTGCTGATGCGCGGAGAAATTAATCTATGACATATGAAATATCTCTAATAAATGCTTAGAATTAGCAAGGTAAATAAACTAACATCAAGCAACTGAAGGCGTGCCGAAAAATAAAAATGTCACTGGGTGTTAAATTTAATCGTTGCTTGAGTGCACCACCACACCTTAACCAGGATTTTGTCATCCGCCATAATTCAAAATGCCACCAATAAGATTTAATTATATTTACGTTTCATGTTTTTGTAGTGTATGATTTCAATTGTCACAATATATTGTTTTTCTTGTTACACACTGGTAGAACAAATGCTGTTGCTGGCTCTTCCGGAAAGTGTCATTTCCGCACTTGACTGCCGCAGAAGCATCACTTTCCGATTTTGTTACTAAAATAACTATATTGTTGCATGAACATGTTCGATAAAAAAAGTTCACTACCAAAGTTACTATTAAGGCTCCCCCAAACCAACGCGGAAAACTCGCAATACCCAGGAATATTCGCATCGCATGCGATTCGCAACATATTGTTTTCACTGCGGTAAAAAGACAAGTTCAAACTAGCGCGATTTATCTGCGTATTTATCTGCATGGAAACTTAGTTCGCAATCAGATGCGTCATTGTCGGATTAGCAGTAATTGCGCAACGTTATAAAAATAGTAAAATAGTAAAGTACCTATATCTAAATAGCCGAAAATGGTGAAGTTGAAACTCATTACATTATTTATTTAAGAAAATAATAGTCAAGTATTCTAGTAAACATTGTGAAGATATTATAAAATTATTCATTGTCATTTATTTTGTTTTAATGATCACAAAAGTCTTCATTAGGATCCTGAATTAAAAAATAACCGTGACAATTTTTTTTCTTTTTTCTTTTTTTAGCAGTAGCATTCGATCGTTTTGATAAAGAAAATATAACGTAAACGATGCGATTATATTCGCTTTGGTGTGAGGCTTCATCCGGAATCCGCCATGAAATTCGCTGCGGATTCTCCGTCACGAATCCACTGCAAATAATTCGCGTTGGTCTGGGGGAGCCTTTATATTACGTTTCTTTCTCTAAATTCTAAAACTAATCTCATTCTCACTTATGCGAAACGGATGACCTATACTTTACACTACTTCCACGCGAGTGGAGTCGCGGGTTTACACTAGTTACGTATATTTCTCTTTTGCGCATATTTTGTTATGAATTGTGGACATATTTCTTTAACGCCTTATGTCAATCAGAGCTTGTGATAGGGGCGTCAAACGTCGTTAAGTGCAACGAAGCGTCGTCTCACGAGCAGTTTTTCCGGCGATCGAAGCTGTAGAAAAGTCTGTCCTGCCTGTCCACCGGTATATCCTATGTCGCCATCGAAGTCGATGTCAGAATATGGAGTGTAACTCGATCCGTGGTCCGTATCTCGAGATACGGATCTCCACGGTTAATTTGCCATTGCGTCGAGACAAACTTGACACGACTGGGCTGCCACCCTGTTCATGGCAGTGGCGGCAGCAACAGCCACTTTTTGGGAAGCATAATTATTTCCGAAGTTCTCCAATTAATAAATAGCCGATGCTACAAAAGATTGCCGCGTTCAGAGATCAAGCGTAAAATATAATGATAAAATAGCATCTCTCAGTGTTATTACTCTACAGAATGAATCTATACCTACCCAAGATACCTAGTTGAAGTCAGAAAACCTTTCCGCTTATTGATCTGACGCGGTACCTAACTAAAATCGCTAGAAAAGGTAGTCCTGAAATTAACATCAGTATTTCAAACTTTGAAACTTCTGTCTTTTTCTCCACAGTTTTATTCCTAATGTTTGACATCCAAGAAGTCACAAAAGCCTGAATGTCGCACTGCGACTGCTAACGAATTTTCCATTAAGTACGGATTGTTGTTGAGATGAAACGAAACAAGCTATATGTGAGGTATTTATGAATTTTTTCATTAGAATTATCCATTTTGTATGCAACATGACACCAGTAAACTCCAAATGGATCCAGCTGAATTTGAGCGACAGCCTAGGCGAAAAAGTTTAATGGACTCAA